ACATAGACGCTTCAGATTTTCATTGTTTTTTTTAGCTCTGATGAGGGGCTATCCATCAGGTCCACCCCTCCCCCCCAAAAAAAGGACCCCCACCCAAGCCATTACAATTTTGGGATGCACCTAGTAGCATGACATTTATTAGGAATAAAGACTTCTGAGTTCTGGTGCATTTGTGTGTGCGGGGGTCATTATGTTACCACTATGTGGTGTATAGTATTGGACTGTGCTATGGAGATGATGGGAAACGCTTTATATTTGATTTGATTTATTTGAAAGGAGACAGTGCATTTAAAAAAAACCACCCCGTCATAATTCATAAGTTTAAAATAGCCAAAGCTAGCCACAAGGCTATTTCCATTTGTATTCCCCTACAATGTTTAAAAAGCAACATTCTGCATTAGGCAGTAACAGGTTTGGATTTGTATTCAGGCTGTTTGTAAATATCATTCTGCTTCTCTTGTTTACAATCAACAATACATAAGAAAATTTAAAGGTTAACCCAACCCTAATTGTTAAGGTGTGTAAAGTTATTCCCTTCCAGCAACAGGTTTCCAAGTAGAAACAAGCAAACAAAACGTTTACCGAATATGCCTTTATTTTACCACACCTTGACAGCTGCAGTAACCTTTTCACCTGCCTGAACATTAATCAGCTCCAGATGCAAAATTCAGACCTGCTGACTTCTTTATGGTCTTAGACCGAGACATGTTGTTCTTAGTGGAGTTACTTTGTTTTGATCCAAAGAATGTTTTATTTATTTTTTCTTCCTGATTCTTCTTCTCTTAGCAACATCTCAGACTTTGTGAACATCTCTTCAGCTTAGGTTTGGAGTCTGTTTTCAGGGGCCCTGCTAAAGGGCTGAGAGTGTGAAGTCTGGACCCTGAGGCTCAGACAATGATGTCCATTTAATCAGAGGCTTTCTTCCGTTCCCTGCTTAAAACCAGCTTTTCATAGAAAGTCTTTTCCGGACTTCACCAAAGTATCCGTTTTCTGGAATTATCCCGTTTCTTCTAGACATGTTTAATTGGTATGGGGTAAGAGAACTGTCAGAATCATTGTATGTATGTGTCTAAATTTGTACATGTAAGTCTATAAACGTACATAAATTTGTTACAACTTCGCCACATTACAAGTACGTATCAAATTTACAAGTACAATTCTTTTATCTGTCAAAATAAGACATTATGCATGGAACACCGAAAAGATCGATTGCAACCAGTAACTAAACCAGACCAGTAGGGGGACATGACCACTGCCTCATTTGGGACCAGATGAACTCTTTATAAATACAACAATTTGCTGAAGGGAAAAGCATTTGGAGGCTTTTCAGTTTGACATTCATGTCATGTAGTACAACAATAAAGTAGATAGTGGATTTATGATGAAATATGTTATTTTATTTTTACTTTTAACACTGTCTGATTTAATCTTTTAAAATATTTTATTCAATTTCTTAAACAGAATCCTGCTTTTGTGATAGACTTTTTTGAACATTTTTCTATATTCTTATTTTTCTTTTGTACTTTGTCAAACTGTTTTGTTTGTGTAAAGCACTGATTTGTCTTGTTGCTGTAATGTTTTATATAAAGCTGCCTTGCTTCAGGTCAGCAGCACAATAATTAATATGCAGTGGACTGATGATGAAATGTTCCAAATTATTTAGACCATATTTTTTAAGCAACTTCTCTTTAACTTATGATATTGTTAACACTACTCTACACTACTACTGAAGACTGGAGCCAGGTGGAGAACAAACCTACAGATGGTTGAAGTACAGGTGGAGACGTCTTCATGACCTGCAGAACATCAGGACTGATGCTGGAGCTTTCTGCACAACATCTGGACTGATGCTGGAGCTTTCTGCAGAACATCAGGACTGATGTTGGAGCTTTCTGCAGAACATCTGGACTGATGTTGGAGCATTCTACAGAACATCAGGACTGATGTTGGAGCTTTCTGCAGAACATCTGGACTGATGTTGGAGCATTCTACAGAACATCAGGACTGATGCTGGAGCTTTCTGCAGAACATCTGGACTGATGTTGGAGCTTTCTACATAACATCAGGACTGATGCAGGAGCTTTGTACAGAACATCTGGACTGATGTTGGAGCTTTCTACAGAACATCTGGACTGATGTTGGAGCTTTCTACAGAACATCAGGACTGATGTTGGAGCTTTCTACAGAACATCAGGACTGATGTTGGAGCTTTCTACAGAACATCCGGACTG